CTTAGATCAAAACTTTATAGCTCTGTTCAGAAACGTTCTGGGATGCGGGAAAAAAAAGTGGTAAGAGGAATTGGAACAAATGTAGTTAAGTCCTCGAAGGGGGTGGAGCTGGCACATGGAAGCGGGCTAGGACCAGAAATTCATTTCTTCAAAAACTTTCTGGAATGTGGACAAAATGGTTTGGAGCAGTCAAAAGAAGGATGGTCAAGTTCATTGTGGAGAAGGTTTGCACTAAGGTGGACGGAGCTAAGATCAACCACTATTAACTGTGCTCAAATATATCGAGCGTGATGCTATCAGCAGTTCAGCGTTCGAATCTAGAGAGAACTATCTTATTCTGATTATCCAACATTCCGCTGAATGACTCCATTGTGGATAAGTGGCCGTCGACATATACTGCGCGTGTTAGCGTGCATAGCCAAACTGGTGTTGGATAGGATGAAATATGCTACAGTTAAACAAATTTTGCGCGATTTGGTCTACTAACAGAAAAGTTATGAAAGAAAGAGCGTCAAAGCTTCTCACCGAAGACTTTTGAGCTCTACTGTACGTATGATTTCGGTTGGAAAGGAAATCTTCCGAGTTAGACTTGCAGTGACGGACAAAAAATCCTGCTAAAAAGTTGGAGCTTTTCTCTTTCTCTCGAATGCACCAGTTGAAGCTTCTTGGTGCCAATACCATACACGAACCATTATAGATATCGTAGCTTTTTTTGACGAATTTACAATATTTATTCGCAATTTCGTTAGCATTTTTCCAAACAGTCAGGCATTTCTTCTCTCAGTAACTCTATGGACGATCATCTAAAATTGCTACGCTTACCATGATTGTAAAAATCGTTTTTAAAGGGGTCTGAAAGGTTCTCCCCCATCGACAAAAGCCTTGACATGATGAGAGCAAGTATTCTTCTTCTTTGCTGTGTAGTCTCACAGAACATCCATACAGATTCCTAATAGCCTTTCAATCACTCGGAACTACAAAAAGCCTTCCAATGAATCTATGATTATTTATTCTATAATCCAAAATTCCTCTCTAGTCACCCACAAAAGGGCTAATTATCATTCTTCATGAAATATTGTATTTTGACTTCCTTCAGCATCTTAGTTCTTGCCCTGCCTATAAATCCGCTGCACAAGGATGGGGGGAGTTCTCCTCTCCTCATCTAAATGTTCACGTCAATCCAATAAACCTTCGACAAAGTCCCGATCCAAGACGTTTACCCGTTACCGTTTACTCTTCTCGTTTACCATTTTTAGTCTAATCCTCATTTATGAAACGTTTTCTACAGTTACCGCGGAAGACAGAAGACAGCTCCCTCTGGAAAAGTGAGGACAACACGCAGGCTCTAAGCAGGAGCTATGTTTCTAGTAATAGTCAGACCTGATTGTAAGTGTTTCTGGAAAATGCACCTCATAGAAATTTCTTTTACACGTAAAGTGCAGTTGGAAATGTTTTTTCTCCATATTACGGAAATCCGTTGATGTTATGGAGCAGTCTGCTCGGAATTCAAAATTGACTTCAACAATGGTTCATAAAACATTCAGAAAAATCCGTTGTAACGTTGGGCAGGACTAGTTCAGCTGCATTGATACACTGCTAATTTACACATTCAATTATCGTTTTGTACAATTTCACAACGTCCTGCGAAGGGCTACGATGCTGATCGCACTCGTTTTCATCATTACTTAAGTGATCGTTTCTTATTAGGATGAATCTTTCAAAATATCATTTCTTATTTTTCAATCATCTAATGCTGCCTCAAAAGAGTCAAGATAGTGCTGTCGTTGATTTCGGGTTCAATAAGGAGTTCTTGGAGTATCTGTTAACACTTGGTTCTCCTGGTTAATAAACGGCTCTTGTACTTCGTGCAACAAAGTCGGAATGCAAGCTTGGCCTCCCTTTATGTACTTTATTTTGAGAAAATGATTTATTTCTAAGCTCAAAGTTCTCGAAGAACCTCCAGTTAAAATGATCTCTCAATCAGGGTACTACTATTGTAAGCCAGACGCGGAACGGGGTTCAATTTTGACAGACAAATTGGTACCAAGTCGGGATCAAAATCCTGACTCCTACATAGACAGGCTTCCACAGTTCAGTTTGTGGGCTCTATAAGCATTTATACACCGCTACGATTTGAAAAGTCGACTTGAATGGAAGTCGAAAGGGTAGGTGCATCCTCAGAAGAAACCGTAGCAAGAAAGAAATGGAGACGGCTGACAAGAGCAGCGGACCCTGCGATGAGAATGGGAGGAAAAACTGCAGCTATAGGCAGCAAGCCATCAAGGAAAGCCAAAGGATGGCGCGAGTTTAACGCTAGAGAGAAGAAGTGGAAGAAGGGTGCACAACGATGATAATCAATGTTTTCCAGCTAGAATGGGAGCAAAAGCTGCAACTTTAGGCATCAATCCATAAAGCACACCTAAGAGATGTTGACACAGGCAACTCAGGCCATGTCGGACCTAGCCTGGCCACCTTAAAAAATTTGCTTAAATTAAGGGAAAAAACTCAAATCTGGACTAATGTTGTTGCCAGGGGCTAAAGAGGTGTGGTCGGAACTAGTAGAGCGAAGCTAACATAATTTGGTCCCATGTTATTGACTGTCCTTGCAGTGATCGTGCAACGCACCGCTTCAGATTTGAGATGCTCATTTTACAGCCAGACCGTCTCAATGATATTAATATGTATCATGAAAAACAAAAATATAAGGATACTATCGCTCTTGATAAGAAGCAATAAAAGACACTTCATCCCTAGTGTGGTTCATTTGAGCTATCTCGTCCTGCGACGTGGTAATCTAGCTCTACTTCCAACTGCAAACTGCATCTCATCACTACATCAACTCTACTTCAGTGTCATGGGACTAATGTCACGTACAGCGATACGTAGGTTTCGTTTCAAACTAAGTAACTCTTCAACTGATTGGAGGTGGATCGATGTCAAGAGCTATATCGCGGCAGCATAATGAAAGAAGGCTGCCTGCGAGAATTGACGACAAGTCATCACTATGAAATGGGATTTCTGTACAATCGAATACGTTTACTTCGGGTGAATAGTCGGAATGTTCAGCTGAAGGGAAGGTATTTTCAAAAATGAGCAGGCATCACAAATCAGGACAGAACTTAGGGTCAGCTTGGAATAAAAAGACAATGCAACTAGTATTCGTTGGGGATGCTTGTGAATACTCGGCCTTTAATCCTCTAGTTTGGGAAGAACTAGTCAGCGAGAGATCACTTCTTTCCTTTACTAATGAAGCAATAAACTCCGGCAAAGCTGAGCTATCTGACCGATCCAGGCTCCGGATGGAACATACTTACTCTGCCGACTGATGATAACATACTATCAGAGCGGTTATCCATGACCCTTCCTATCTTCATTGCTATGTACCATTCATTTTTCGAGGCTCCCAAGTCACCGATGGTCGGATACGATTCTTCGCAATCGACATCACTAGAAGACGAGAAGTATGAAACTTTTGGTCTTGGTCGTTTCGCCATGAAACCTCGAAATCGTAGTGGTGTTTTGGATATGGGGATGGCCGATACAATGAGTTGCTGTGGCCAGCCGACGTATAAGTCAATGCTTTTGTTCTCACAAGCAAATCGAAAAAAATTATCGACACCGGATTTGGAATTTATCATTGGCAAGAATCATTCCGAGATTCGATTCCTGGCCTAGGCGTGGGGTTGCATCGTCAGTACACCATCTCTGTCACATTGCCCAAATTAGACATGGGTACTCGAAGATCATATGATTCCTGACTGGGTATAAGCTTTGCTGGGTAGTAATAATTACAACTGATTAGTAAAAAAATAAATTAGATCTTGTTTGATCAGTGGTTCTTCCTATGGAACCAGCGATTTTCAGCTTACACAGCTGCTTAGCTCCTCATCAGCCATAATCAGTCATGATACGTTCTTCCCATTACCCACTATGCTCGGTTGGAAACAAATATGTCTTAAAGTCCTAAATGTTGGGATCCGGCATAAACAGAGCATTTGAGCAAACATTCAGTACTATATGACTCTTACGGTCATGATTTTGAGACATGCCATCGTGAAACCAATCATGGCCCCCTTACCTTCGTGACCTCCTTTGGATTTTTATCAGTCTTCATCACGAACTCAAAATGTTTCTTTCCCTTCTCTCACCGCGAATCGAAATATCACGGTTTTTGCTGCTGGTTATAGTCTTTTATGGCCAAATACTGAGTCTTATGAGTGGACCAGTCTGATAGTCCTGCTCACGCCGGGCTCTACTCCTTTTCGTGTTGAAGCTGGTAAACACTCAGTCACCCTTCCAGAGCACCCTAGCCATCATGAGCGAAACTCCACTAGATTTAAGTGAGTTGAGTGACTCTGTGATCACCAACTTATTCCAACCGGTCGAGTCGACTCGGACACATACATACAAACAACAACAACACACAACAATGCAACCACACTGCATACCTCATATATCACTCACTACACACAGCATCACACATACGCCTCACAACCCACACACAACAGATCACACACACTTTACGAACGCACGCATACACACATACACATACAAAACAAGCACACAGTACATGCACACCACACACACGTAGCACTTTCTACAAACCACACACTACACATACACACCAACATACACCGCACAACACACACGCACATAAACACACGCAAACCACACACACATACACGTACACACCATCCACATACATCGCACACGCACAAGTCATCCCACACCACACACACACAACACGCACAGCACAGGCCACCCACACACACCACACATGAGTAAGACACTCACTGCAAACCTCACACACTACACAAACACACCAGCACAGAACACACACATACAAACCACACACTCAAAAACACACATGCACACACACATACACTACACATACATCGCACACACTTATACAAATCACACGCACCACACACACACGCTACACGCACCCACACCACAAGCCACATTACATATACGCACGCACACCTACATCGCACACATAAGCAGAAATCTTGCACACATCACACATACACAACACACACGCCACAAGCCACCCACTTTAAACACACACCACACACCAACGACACACACATATTTACATACGTTCACACATAGACACACATAACACACGCTACAAACCACACTTATTACACATACACACACCACACAACACACATACAAACCACGCACACACACACAAGCACGCCCCCATACACACACGCTACTTATACACCGGGCACACTTACACAAATCACACACATCACATGCACTATACACACCCACACCCCAAGCCACACTCACTACACATACACCACACGCACACATAGACACACTACCCGCACACCACAAACCACACGCAGCATACACAGTCACCACACACAGCGGTACCATGCGTGGGTTATCCACCGCCTCCTGTCACCACACCCTACCTCCTCGACTGTTAGCATAAGGCGACGTAACCGGCTCCATTTTTGCTTAGGATAAGGAGATTAGAGGAAAGAAGAAGAAGAAGAAGTTTTCGTTTAAGAGAGATAGTGTTTCAAGCCCCCATTACACACCGATTACTAGGGAATCTTTGATTGTGATGGATAGTGGTCGACCACCCCACGCGAGAACGTCGATGGATGAAGCTGAAAGCCCGACTCCCCACATATTCACCTGAACTCAACCTATATGAATGCCATACCATCAGAAGCCCACAGGCCTGCTTTTAGGAGAAAATTTAAACAAGTGTCAGAAAGTCAACCAGGTAGCAGATGAATGAATTCTGATGCGCCTCTGTTCATATTGGAGGAAAAGCATCAGTGCCCTGTGCGATTGATGGAGAGACATTGATTGTGAAGGGTAAGATAAAGGATGCTGCTAAGAAAGGCCACAATCTTGATCGCTGATCTAACTTTATCGCTGTAAGTAGTCTGTGTCGGAAAACCGACTGAATTTTCTCAAAACTCTCCGGATACCTAGTATCCTGCATGAGTTGTGTACATGCAGGTCACGGCTGTACTTCCCTCTGATGTTCATGATCCTAGCCATGAGCAGGATGAAAAGGATCGCATGTCCTATTCACATAACTCAATTTGTAATGATTTCCGACAATACTGTAGCCACGCCCTTTCGTTGAAAAAAATGAAAGTATGGTCGTAAGTTAAACAACTACCCGTAATGCTTCATTTTACAAGAAGTATGGTCTGCACAAAAGCTGCAATTCACTTATGCCTATGACATAGTTTCGGCTAAATAATTACATGTTAACATATCTAGTGAAGATCATGGGAAGGGCAACAAACTGCAGTTCAGGCAGGACACGTTATACGCATTCGTATCAGCACTCACTCCAATTCTTCGCACTTGAACAGAGTCCAGAGGGATCCAAAGGCGTCACGTTAATCAGCTGAGGGACAGCGACTCCAATGGGGCAAGCTCAAAACTTACCCAGTTTTTCTTGGATAGTTTTGGAAGTTTCAAACAGAAACTGCTCTGGAAGAACACGTTCTTCTATGGCTGCCCATAGAGTTCGTATTTAAGATTGTCGTTCGGAACTGCGCAAATCTCGTGTACTTTATTCTTATTTATTTGTNGGTTGAGGAAGGCGAGCACCCTTGTCGAGACGTGACCTTCTGTTCCTTTCACGGTACTTTGCACCGGACTCTTTTTCGCTTTGAGGAACTTGCCCTCAATGACTAGCGAACGACACTGATAGCATCACTTTTGTTCGTGAGACATCGAATTTATAACCGCTGGTGTTGACTGGCAGTACGAGTTGCTTTCAAAATAGGATGGTTTGGTCTTCACCATGATTCTTACTGTGAGCAACAATAATAGAATGAGAATTTTTATAGGCATTTCTATAACTCAGATGCCGTTCTTAATCCGCAGTGGGCCAAAGTTATAGCAGGTGTGGGTCGCTGTTAAAAATTTACACTATCATGAAACCATTGCGACAGATTTTCTCAGCAGCCGGCAATAAACTAGAAACAAGGATTTTTTCACGGGACCAAACCAACTGCGTTGTTCTGAAGCAAGAAAAACTGCGTTCCTTTTTTAGAATATTTCTTATGGTGCTATGCAACAGTCTCTTATCTCTGACATGCCGAAGAAGGAGAAAGAAAAGTACCTATCTTTTGCTATGTTAGTAATTGTTTGTCTTGTGAAGATGTGAGTTTTATAGATATTACGAGTAGCCAAAACTATCGGTAAACGAAAATCTTCTTAACTTGCTGAGTATTCTGGAAGCCAGTCGCTGACAAATGACGCTCAGTCGCTGACAATTTATAAAAGAGGAATACGCTTGACCAATCCCTCATCCTACTCACATTTTGAATTTCAGGGTTTTATAATGGCATTTGGTGATCCCAGAGCGCTGTGTTTTGCATATGTTGAATTCAGCATTGTAAATGGAACAACTGCTTCGCCTGAATTCTATTACGATATTGGTGTAAGAAGCAACTATGTTTTTTAGCTTTTCGATCACCCACAGGGAGTTTCATGCGGTAAGCTAGATCGGAACTAGAATCCAATAGTTTTCATTCATTCACCCAGTTAACACTGTTGAATAGCCTCCCTTGCCCAGTGGTCTACTTGACCAATGATGTTCACTTATGACTCGCGTTTCTACTTTTTGAGATATTTAGTACATCGACCCACGGTTTCTAGTTATTGCCTTACTTGTATTCTTATAAATACTCTTTTGTTGCTCGTACAAGTAACCAACAATTGCTCTCCTCCTTTTCCTTCGTTCTATTTCCTGACGCAGGGGACAATCTAATTTTCAGGGCAAGGAAGTGATTTTTGGCTAGCGCAGTTCTGCAAAGAATTTGAATCTCTGCATCCTCGAAAAAATTCTGCTAACACATTCCCATTCCATGCCCCACTGCTACCGCGCAACATTAGCTCCTCGTATTGTAACGGTTACTTTAGGCTCATGTTTGCATCACTACTAATCCTTTTCTCACACCCTTCATACCA